GCTGTCGGGTCCGGCGTCGGCCTCCGCGATCACCTGCCGTGATGGCTGACTCCCCCACACCCCCACCCAACCCCCACACCCACACCCCACACCCACACCCTTGATGCAAAAAAGGGCTTACACCTGCGAATTTCTCGTGGTTTTTTTGTGATTTTTCAATAGAAAATGAACATTTTTAGCGGTTTTCATTGGTATAACCTAATGATAAATCAAAATAAATACGATATTCGGTATCAGCATGAAAAACTGCATCTATCTATATATGTTTTAGCGAAAAATTTTTCCTGGCCAAAATTAACCTGTACTTTCCCACAGCTTTATTTCAAAGCAATATTTTCCCTGGTCTCCCACAGGTTAGTGTTGGCTAGGAAAAATTTTTCGCTAAAACATATATAGATAAATGCAGTTTTTCATGCTGATTCCGAATATCGTATTTATTGTGATTTATCATTAGGTCATACCAATGCAAACAGCTAAAAATTTTCATTTCCTATTGAAAAACCACAAAAAACTATGAAAAATTCGCAGGTGCAAGCCCTCTTTTGCATCAAAGTCAAACTTCTTGAGTGTGGGTGTGGGTGTGAGTGTAGGGGCGTCGGTGTGGGTGTGGATAAAACGAAGACTCCGACACCCCACAATCACACGCACGCCCACACCCACACCCACACCCGTTTTGGCGAAAGAGGGTGTGGGTGGCATTTTTTCTTCATCGACATTCACACCCACACCTACACTCTCTTTCGTCAAAACGACTGCCATACCCACATCCATATCGTTCTAGCGACAAGAAATCAACAGAAACGCTTTTGCTTTTTATCCTTTCACTACTTCCTAATACAATTTCATGTGCTCTATTCGACTATGACGTTTGTTTTGATTTCACATCAGAATTTGTTTACACAAACAAATTTTTTCGGTAGGAATGGCAAAAAAATCAGTGACTCATTTCATATTGCGTGCGAGATCTTTTTGCTGCACTCAAACATGCTTAAATGTTATTCAAAATCAATATTTTTTTTGCATAACATTGATTTCTTTTCAACTTTTTTTCAGATTCTTCTTTATTCTGCGACAAAAGGTAACTAATATTTCATCGATACATCAGATTTTGTAGCTTAAAAGGTTATACACCACCCAAGTTCTTGTTGTGAATGACTTCATTGAATTATGTGAATTGTGATATGCTCCCAAAAATCGAGAGTGATAAACAAACCCGCGATGTTTCACTATTAGTAATCATCGATGGCAGAGGCACAATTTTTCGAAGTGGAACGAGCAATTATACATCCACTATCTTGTTTAAAAAAATAGAAACAGAGAATGACAGGTTGCTAAGATTGGTAATATATGTATGTCAGAAGGAATTAAGCTTTAGAAAAAATTAAAGAGAATTATTAAAGGATGTTGAAATAACAAACATAAAAGACATAAGAATAGATAATTGAAGTTATATATTTCAATTAACTTATATTTTGTAAGATGTAGAGTTCGCCACTGTTTTATTGAAATCTAACTGAGTTTTGAAGAATGAAGAGTTAGAAATAATAGTCAATGTATGCTGTTGAAATATAAGCCGGCTTGAGTCTTTCAATGAAGTGATTGATGTTTTTTTACTCTTCTCATAATCTATTGTTATTTATATAAGCAATTTATTTTGATTCCGATAATTAGTAGCACGTTGTTTTTTATTCACAGAAAGATCGATCAATTGATTTAAGTGGATATTCTCTTCACTAAGATTCAATACTAGTAAAATACTAGAAACAAGTACAACGATAACCACTAATCTTTTGAAACAAAGGATTTATATATGAGAACTGTGAGAAAAGCTGATAGAATATAATAAATCACATCGATGACTCAATAATCAGTCAGTAGTATGATTATGAGCATGTTGCAATGTATTGATGGAGTTCTCCTGTTGATAAATAGTATAATGTGTGTATCGCAACTATGATTGATTCATCGAAAAAAAATATTTATTCCACTTACGCTCACAGAAAATGCTCACTCAACCAAAAAATAAAAAAAGGGAGGAGAATTGAAGCTGCAATCTTTTCAAATTCCTTTCCACATCTATGTTCAAATGCTTTAAGGACAAGATGCTATTTATTCTGCATGTTTTCAATTTTAATTTAAAAACTAGATGTTTAAATGTTCAGAAAGGAACTTATTCATAATATTGATAAGATAGATTATTGTAATATTTTTTTTTTGACATGAAAAGCAATACTAGATATAATTCATCAATACAATATCTAGACACATATCGTGTCATACATAAGGTGTTTCAACGTGAATAGGCTTCTGAACATCCTACATCGCTTCATATACTAACCCCGGTTTGATTATTTCTGTCGCGTACATTAAAAGTTTCAAGTTAGTATTTTTTTTGTACGACAAAAGATGTGTAATGCTACGATGTGAAATATACATTGAAATGTACTAAATACTTATTCACTAAGTGACATTGTTGTTGAGATTTAACTTCTGATATTGAAAAAGAACTCATTGGTATACATACGAGTCATAGAACAGAAAATACTATAAAGGTAGACGGATAATGTTTCGAGCTACTGTAGTATTTAATATTAACTAATAACGTCAATGTGACATTTTTAGTGTGTACGATACATTTTGGATTTGTCTAATGAATATTAGAAGCATACAAAATCACCGTATGAAGTAAAAAAAAGATAGTTCAATAGGATTTTTGCTGTAAACCATTCATGTCGGGCATTGCCATCGTCACATAGTTTTTCTCTCTTGATACTTGTTCTGCAATAAGACCTAGATACAGCAGCGTTTAGCATAAAAGAAAAACTTCATAGAACCTGTTATCTTTATTAGATTCGTGTATCGGTGACGCCATTCGTAAGATACTCGTCAAATATTAGTCATTGTTTTCCTTTGTCTACCTTTTTTCTATAAGATAACGGAAAATGTCTACAGTTAAATTACTTCATCTAACAAGACTCATATGAAGCGCGCATATGAAGGTAAGATTTTTAAATCATTCATATATGGTTTTAGTTCAAGTGCAAGCTATATAGTAAGCATTAGCAGTCTGTGTAGTTCTAGAGATCCACTTTAGAATTAAACATGACTCTAAGGACTGTATCAGCAATTAAATGTCTCTGAACTTTTTTCCACTTTCTATATCAGACACCTAGTTCTGTCATCTATGATGAAATACGCTATTGTTTGATATAATATTCATTTTTTTTAAAGAGGACATGGCATCGTCATCAGTCATCGCAAAACAAAGCACTTACAACATTGTTGCAACGGATGTTAGTTCATCTATGGAGAAAATCCAAGACTACAAAAGTTTAGATTTAGAACCTTTCGAAAAAAGTCCAGTATGGTCTGATGAATATCTTTCACAACTGAACATCCAACGTCGTCCTTTTGATTTTCAAATTGAACTCATTCAATCTGTCATAAACAATGGAAATTCGATTGTTAGTTTACGAACAGGTGCAGGAAAAACATACATAGCTGCACTTTTAATAAAATATTATTATATAAAGAAACGAAAAGAAAAAAATGAACAGTTTTTAACATTTTTCTTTGTTCCTCATCGTTCAATTCGTGATCAACAAGTAAAAGCTATACGCGATGTTGGCGATCTTCGTGTTATGCCTTGTGATGATAATTCAACAGCTAATGAATTTGTTCAATATAGTCATGTTGTTGTTTGTACACCACAAAAGTTTTTGAATTGTTTAATCGATAAAACTATTCTTTTAAATCAACTTGATTTGTTAATATTTGATGAATGTCATAATTGCATTGGAAATCATCCATATTTGAAAATGATGGAACAATATTTAGTTTATTATCAATCGAAGCATCAACCGAAAATAATTGGTCTTACTGCTTCTTGTGGAACAAAACTAACAAATCCAAAGTTAGTAATTGAAGAATTATCAGATGCTGAAAAGCGTCGAAATAATGCTCTCAATAAGCTTTATGAATTATGTGCAACACTCAATTGTCATGATGTTGTAACTGTAAAAAAAGCAGAACATATAGAAGAATTGAATAAAAAAATACATAGACCAACAGATGATCAAATTCTCACTGTTCAATCAATGTCATTTGATCAGTATATAAAAAAATTAGTAGAAATAATTGAATCTCTATTAGGCTATATTGGATCTAAATGTTCTCCAAGTATTGATGCATTAACCGATGAACAACAATTAGTTCAAAAACAAAGGGATGCAGAGATATACAATAATTTCACTAATGTGATATTGATTAAATACATGATTATGTTTGTTAAAAGACTCCATGCATTAACTGATTTACCATTGAAATCAATAATAAATGATATCATCAAGAAAATTGATCTATTTTACAAGTATATTTCTCATTATCAACAAATTTTCAAATATTTTCATTTGATTCTATTAGTAAAAAAGAAACGCCAATAGAAATTGAAACTAAAATTCATGATTATTGTCTACAAACAGTAAATAGTATAGTCGATCAATTGAAAGAAAGTCAATATTATTTAACAAATCCTAAACTTGATTTTTTAACTAATTTATTACAACGACTTATTAAACAAAGAGACAATGCAAGAGGTAAATTTTTATTTTTTTTTGGCACTTGATCATTGAGGAAAAACCTTTGTTTTATAGGATTAATTTTAGTATCGCGTACACTTTATGCTAAGCTAATGTTTGATTATTTCAATGAACGTGAAGATATTAAGGTAAGTCGGTTAATTACAGTTAAAATAAACCATTGAAATAGGACATTATAAAACCTTGTTGGCTTGTCGGTCAAAATGGTGTTGATTATCAGAATAGTCCTAGTGAACAAGATGAAACATTGAAAAATTTTCGAAAAGGTTTGCTGTGCTTATTTGAATAGTCTTATCAATCAATGATGAAGTATTTAGGATTGTCGAATGTGTTGATTGCTACAGATATCGTACAAGAAGGTTTGGATGTACCGGAATGTTCTTTTGTTATACGTTATGAATTTGTTTCAAATGAAATTGGCACAGTTCAATCAAGAGGACGAGCTCGAGCAGAAAAAAGCTCTTTTTTTCTAGTTGTTGATGAAGGTATATCGAAGTTTTCGTTAGAGGAAAAACTTTTGTAAAAAAAAAAAAGCAAAACTCATCAATTATAAAAAAAATGCTTTTCATTTTATTATCTATATAGGTTCAAAAAATCCCATTAAAGAGATGACAAATCGTTTGAAAGAATTGGAAATGCTAGAAGCACTTAACAGTTGGCAACAAATATCACCTGATCAATTGAAACTTAATCTTCAAAAAGTGCAGGTTAATGAAATATTTCGTTTTATTTTTATTACAATAAAAGTAGAGTGCTTTTATTATATTCTTTATTTTTGTTTTAGAATAGAATTATTAATCAATGGCGTGTCGAAGCAGAATTGCAACGAATAATTCAATCTAATTTAGCAGATCCACAGACCATAGATGGCAAAGTTTCATGTCGTTCATGCGATCATTATTTAGGTCAACTTTCATGGTTACGCAAACGAAGTAATAGTTATTTTATTCGATAACAACAACTTACCGAACGAATAGAAATCGAATGGTTTCCTGAAGAACGAATATTCAAAGAAATACAATTGAAGGGTACAAACAATATTTTGATCGATTTAATTTTGGCTTTTTCATTTGTTTCTTTTTTAAGGAAAAGTTCGATGTGGCAATAGAAAATGTCGTGAGGATATAGGTGGAGCCCAACAATTTACAGATCGACCAGATATTCTAGAAATATGTGCACTTACATGTAAAAAATTGAAATTTTCTTTCAAAGATTTATACGGCAATTATCACATTTCAACGTTCAAGAAATGGACTGACGTTAGATTTAAAATACTTGAATTGGAGCCACCCATGTCAACCAATACAGTACCTGTTCAACAGTAGATCACTATTCTCCCTGATTTTTACTAACCATATATCTATACTTCGATGAAACATATATTTATACAAGATATTTGAGAACTGCCCACAATATGATTTTATTATGTTTTGTGGATTCAATATCGTTCTTTGTTCGATGCAATATTGTCTCCGACTGAGACTGGTCGTTTTTCGTCTGTGTTCGATTTCTCACGTAATGTCCTAGATATATGTGTGTTGATAGGGTGTGGGTATGGGTGTGGGTGTGGATGGGGTGTGGGTGGGTGTGAGTGTGGGTGTGTAGGTGTGGGTGAGTGTGCAGATAAAAAAACCACTTACATCCACACGCACACCCACATCCTTACACCCACATACACCCACACCCACACCCCACCCTCTTGAAAGAGTGTCAAGTCTAAAAGACTCTCTTATCCCTTTACAGCCGGATGTATCCATTTAGATACATGAAGCCAATGTTTTACGAAGAAGTAACTTGTAATGATGATATGAAATGTTTTGACGATTTGATAAATAAGTTAACACATTTCAACACACATTCACGTGTTTAGAAGAGGGAAATAATACTCACTAAGAAAATGGCCGGCTCTATCCAAAATGCCCCAAAATAGCGTTCGTATAGAAACAATCCTTTTCTCGTATCTCTAAATAATCAAACTTCGAAGCAAACAGTTGTTAATTTTCCTTCATAGACCTACTGTCTATTGGATCCTAAGACGGATTATTTAAAAAATCCGAATGATAAAAAATGGGGATGTATCCATTTAGATACATCCGGCCACTAAGGGACAAAAATTTTGAAAAAGTCATTTCT